AATAATAATAATAATAATAATAATAATAATAAGGAGAACAAACTGTGTTTGTCTTAGCCTCTTTCTGTGAATATGGAACAAACAGCGGAACATGTTTTGATGGTGACAAAAATGATCCAAATAATCGAAATCGAAATCGACAGTTTCCAAAGAAAGCTTCCAATCCGTTCAATGAACGTCATGCCTGGAGCATAGACCTATCAAGTGGATTTGTCGCAACATCGAAAAAAAGTTTGAAGTTTGTTGAAAGCTATATAAAAGATTGATCATGAAAACTGCTCGCTTGATAACTGGAATTTTTCCAGCGTTGGATTTCTCTGTGGTGTTTGAGGACACCGATTACTTCACCGTCTGCAGCCGTGCAAATTGGTGGAAGGGGTCCTTTACATGAGGACATACGCTACAGCCATTCTAGCAGTCCCTTTGGAGGTTTCGGATATCGCCATTAGGTTTAGAGAACTGGGTGTCGCTTTGAATTAGCTATCAGCGAGTTTCTGAAGTAGCATATTCCGTTTTGCTAGTCCGCGGCTTTCACAAAGGCCCGTAAGGGGCATCGTATCAGTACTCTTCGGAATGGAAACTGAATCGTTTATCGATCTCTAGGCAATTCAAGATTCTTAGTTCATGCCTAGTCAAATTTTATCCCTGTCTTGTAAGAGCTCTATGCAAATTTTTGTAATCCAACGATGGTTGGATATTTGGTTATCGAATACGTGATTGGACGACCTCATTTACTGATATTTCGATGAGTGACGTGAGTGCTGAAGATTATTGGCTTGGGTAGATGCTCATTTGCTCCGTTTGGCCGCTTCTCGATTCGTAACTGGACATTTCTGGTTTTTGCTCCGGTCTCAGAACACTTCATTTCCTTTTAAATGACGCCTTTTCGAGTTCTAGATGTCTTGCCGGTATCGAAAGTGTTTACTGCCTGGATTAACGGAACTAGCATGTTCAAGTAGCAACGGCTAACGTTTCAGCAATGACTGACGCCTTGGTATAACAATATGCATAAACGTATGAGATCATAGAAAATGTACAGCAAAAAGACAGTGAATAGATCATGATGAGGGGGAATGGATTGAACGAAATTTTATGCAGATGAATATCTAAATATGTAGGTAAACATAAAAGGATCGATTCGAACAGATTTCTTTAACCTTTTAACCTTTCCCTTTCTTTCTTCTGCAGAGTTCCAATCATGTGTAGATTACAGATTTCTTGTATACTTCAGTCCTTGAATAAATTTAGACAAAATGGGACCTTGTGGAATGGGACGCAGAGGATCGGCTTAAAATGGATCTACTGAGCTTTACAGTAGATGTTACAGTCTGATCTACGACAGCGTTCATGATGTTTAAATAAGATGACTAACCTGCTCAGCAGACAATTTTCAGAGCCGAGATATGAACCACTCGAACACTGCGAACTACAGCAGTGGTCAGCTTTGAAAATGGCCGCATTCCGAAATTAGCGAGGACTAGCTGAAGCTCACAGAAGGGCTACTAACAGAGTGACAGAAAACTGCTGTCATAAATACCGCCAGGAGAGTGCAGGGAATTTAGGGTATAATAGATTTGTATCAGAAACTAGTAGCTGGTCCGAAAAGTTTGCCATCTCAAGCACTGAACACGTCCAAGCTTTTAGTCATTGCATCTATTGATTTGTACTTGCAATAGGTGGTTGATATCCTTTCGTACTGAATCGATGTTTGGTTTCTCCTGGTATAGGACCATGAAACAGATTTCAAACCAAACGCCGTGCCAAACTAACACAGATTACTCAAAATATTATTCTTATTAATAAGTTACGTCGGAGCTATTTTATTAATATTAAAATTTCAGCTCTGATCGCTTGGCTTTGGTTGCCAATCCTCAAACGCTTCCTGTCGCCGATCGGCTATGTTTAAAGCTGAAACCTTTCAGTTTCATACGCGTTAGCAGCAGCTGTAATCACTGCGATCTGTGATAAGTCCTCTTGACCAGTCTTGCTTATCTCGTCCGCAGTGTGCGCGGCGGTTCCTCTAAAAACAGTCATTCACGAACGTCGAATGCGTAGTGACCCGAAAAACACTGAGCCGGTTTGTCCGTCGTCTGTCTGCAGTACTGACGTCAGTCGTTACTGCTTTCCGCCGTGACAAGCGAATTGACTCCCTGTCATATGAAGATGATATTTGATGACCCGGTGGTATTTTCTGCTCATCCCGGTGGATTTAGCAGGCATTAAATTCAGGATTTGATTCTCCCCTGCGACTGTCCTCATAGGATAATCAGTAAGGCAGAAATAATAAGCAGAGTTGGTCAACATGTTTCCAAAATGTGTTCGGTGCACTTGGTCGCATCGCAACCTCAACCTCAACCTCGCGGAGGGCATTTGAATCATTCCATCGATGATTCGGAATCAAACGGAACACAGGCGTCGTTCGTTGATTGTCGTCTACGAAGTGCTAAGGCGACAAATCGCTGGTGTGCGTGATTGTGTCGTCGTCGTCGTCATCGTCATCCTGTCGGAGTTCGATTTTCCGATCGTGTCAATTAATCGTAGCCTCCGCTCAGCTGGTGTGTCGCAGTTCAGGTTCTTCGATTGTATTTCGATGCAGTCGTTCGTTTCGTTGGCGACCGGGCTGATTCACACGGTTGTGACTCAAGGACAAGAGGCACGAACTGACGGCCACCTTAAGCTTCGCACTTCTCACAGTTCTCACAGTTCTGTCGTCGCCTGGTCTCTGTTCGACCGTCCAAAATGACCGCCCTGGAACTTCGACACTCTTCGTTCGTTCGAAACTTGCGTCCAGTAAGCTTCGTCGTTTGCTTCATAACTTTGATCAGAGCATCGTTGAAACTCTTTAACAAACCAGGCGAAGTCGCAGCATGATTGACGGTAGTACTGTATTTGACTCTGGACAAGAAATAGTATATACGGTTAAGAACGTTGAACTCCTAACTTGGTACGAGGTTCAAATTGTCATTGGACGTACCATGTAGCGCTACTTCATTGTTTTTGCTATTTACATACATCCAACGTCCTGTTCAAGCCAGGTTGTTGTTTTCATCGGTGCCTGAATAGCAGACTGGTCATACCAGAGTGAGTGAGGTGCGAGTATGCTGTGTAATGCGAACGCCTCACAGGGCGACAGTTTTCTTTTACCACTTGGTAGCTGCTTACTGGATGTGATAATCAGCAGAAAGTGGTTGTTGTTTACTACTACCTCGTTGCTAAGTCGTTGCCAGCTTTATCCCTGGATTTTTCGGTTACTTTTTCTCTGAGGTGAACGCATCCTTCCTGGTCGAACTTCATACTTAAATACAATCTGATCGTTAAATCGTTACATGCTTTCTATGACGTGGACTAACTTATGAACATCTCATTTTAGCTCTATGCAGTGCTGCTAAAATCAGTGTAGGAAAAATCACAGAACTAATGGTGGCGCTTTGGCTTCCATGAAGGCAGTATCTGATTCTTGTTCTTTCTTCGCAATCCGCCTAAAGTGCTGAAATTTCAATTGCCGATGAACAGCATGATTCAGTCCCTCCAGAGGTAAATGTTTGACTGTCTTAAGTATCTTAGGACCACCTTAATCTTGACTTCACTACCTCTAGGTACCTTCTGGTCAGTCTTAAATCTAATCGAGCACAATCGTCTGTTGTGAATTTAGATAAAGTTGCAATCTTACAGCCGTTTCACGGTTTTTCCTGTTACTGAATAACAGTTGTAACGTTTACGTAGTGGTCAAAGAAGAAACTAACTACTTCTCAACGTCTTGCGAAAAAGAATGGACGAAGGCATAATCCAATTTCTCCGCTCGTCCTGCGTAGTTTCACTCAGATATCTCTTTTTATGCAAACAGTATTACCAATTTTTAGCATCCTAAAACCCTGCTGTCTTTTTGCAATTTCATTGCTAGAATTCTTAGCTACCCTACTACTCTGAATAAAGAAATAAACAGGTTATCGCCTAAGACACAAACCTCAGTTTTGTGGCCTCAGTCAGGAGGCTTTCATGTAACATTTTAAAGCTACGTTTACACTTGTGAAACAACTATAGCGTAGCACGTTCTGTTTTTTTCTTTCCACAAAGCGATACTCAGTAGTTTACCTCAGAAGGGTGTACGAAGTATGCTTGGTTGGAGCTTGAACCGGGACCTCTTGATTATGGCTTTAACGTTCTACCGACAACCTTGCTTCAGTAAAATACTCTATATCGCACTTTAGTGATGCATGCGAGCCTCCATCTTAATCCTTAACAGTCTCTGTGATTTGGACGGATTTCCTTACGGTTACATTTATAAGCCTCTCGGTTTAAATCGAACTGAGCAATCCAAAATGGATATGAGCAAAATCATTAGAGTCCAGCTCGTACTTTGATTTCTATGCCGGCGATGGTCCATTTCCGTCTTTTCTTCACAACCGATACGTAGTGTTGTGTCCTTCTAGGTTATAGAATACTGATAATCTCCCCAGATTTTCAACTGATCATTCGATGGAATTTGCCTGTAGGCAGTCGTCTTGTGATGCACTCCGTTTGAGGCTCTTCACATAAATTGGACTCCTGTATTTTCGCCCTTTATTTCAAATTTAAGTGACCGCTTGATATATATCATAATAGCGACCCTTTTCTATAATTAATGGCTGAGATATTGAACCAAGATCTTCGTGTATTGAACCTAGTGCCAAAATTATTTTGACGGTTCGCATCAATAATCGTCAGTGCAATTATACAGTTGAACCAGTCGTTGCAGACGGTGATGCACTGTAGTGGCTGACTGAACATTGCACACGAAGTCCCTGAAAGCCATCTCTGCACATTCAATAACCTGCAGGCATGATCCAAGCCGCAAGAATCTACTTCGCTTGTCAATCATGCCGTCTAAGAAGATCATGAGGTCGGAATGGCGAGGAAATTTACTGTAGATAGCCTCACCTCAATCGGCAACAGTGAGGACGACAAGGATCCTTCGATATATGATGCTGATTGCAAGCGCACTGTACAAAAGAATATACCTTTTCTTCTAATAAATAAACGGTTAATTTAAAACGTATTTTTCTAGATGCTGGACACATTCAAATTCTGCTGTCATTGGAGATCAGTTTTGAGAATGAGTCAAGGCCTGCCCTTCTCTCTGCGACTGTATGCAAAGTATTCGTTTCCTAAATCGATTCATTTCCGGTCATCAATTGAAGTTGTTTCAATTTAAGCACCGACGATCAACCTCTATTTTTCAGTGGGGGGAATGAACTCCAACATAGTTCTGGTAGCCAAGAAATGCGCACATTTTTGCTGTTGCTCACCATTCACATTTTGGTCACTGGGTTAGATTTTTGAGCCGAGTCCGTGGTACATTCGTTCGCGCATTGTCTGAGATTTTAATTGTCAATGATTGAGGATGATTGCAGATTATTTCAGAATACTGCTTATTGATTTACCGTACCTAACGTAGTAAGAATAGTAATTCACTGTAGAAGCGGAAGAAGGATAGAAGCCAGGTTGCTTCTGCCAATGCACGCCATTCCTGTACGTTAAATGAACAACTCTTAGCAACCGCATGGTAATGACATGCCTTTTCGCCTCAATCCATCCTACCCCCTCTTTTAGGTATATCGCTGGACGAAACATGAACTTTTTCATGAATTCGTTTCCAAACTGAATCGCTCAGACTTGTCTTTCGATGCCACGCTCTGTTTCGCTAATGTGTTCAGATTCATAAATATTTAACCAAATTGAATATCTTGCTTCAGACATTCCTCAGCACATATGCATATACCTTTGTCGTCCGACAAAGGAGCAAATTCAGACACAACCGAAAAACAATCAGTCGGTACTATCCAATTATTCATAATCATATTGCCAAAGTTTGTAATCGTTGTCGTGATTAGGAACTAGGTTTATGTTTATGCCTATAGCTGAATACGCGGAAATAATATTTTCCCGGTTTTAGGTTTCTTCCTTGAAATGACTTGATTGCTAGCTGATTATCTCATAGTTTCGTAATCGCTATGGGTTGCAGTCCAAGTTCTTAGTTCCACACGGTTGCGTGTTTGTGTGCTTTTGCAAGATCTTTGCCTTGAGTCATTTTCGTAAGCACAACGTCTTTCTTATGTGATTTCCGCTGTAATCGTATAGCTTTTTGGCACTTCTGCTGTAAGTTATCGATTATATTCCTCTCCCAGCTCAGGTCTACCTCAGCTCTCTTCCTCCATGTTGCTTACTGGCCTCCTGGTCGACTTCTGCCATCTTTCGACTCCAACACGAGAAGCTCTGAGGCTAAAGTACGTCAGTTAGGCCAAACCGGTTTTTTAGCCGGTCAACCTCTTTTATTTAATCTCCACATCTGTTGAGGCACAGGTACCCGGAAGAAATAGAATCATTCCTTACGTAGTTCTGCAATTTTACCCTCATTGTGCTGCATTCAGTTCAACCATCGTTATTTTTTCTTCGTTAGACCAGCTGCCTCGACGCCGTACAACAACATGACCTGACCGACGTGTGGTAGAGGCGGATGTTCGTGGAAATGGTTTTTCGTTTCGTAGCAGATGGCGCTGCTTGCGCTTCCTATCGTTCCTCAACATGTGGATTCAGAAAACGTTTGAAAATAAATAAATAAATAAATATATATCCCAAATATTTACAGCGCGATGTTTGTTTGACTATTAATGTTTTGATGTAGAAAATTCATCAAAATGGATTTGCCAATTATC